AATTTGACCATAAAACATAAGGGACAAATTAGCACAAAAATATGTAAAAATTAAAGGAGATTCTGGTATCCAGAAATGCCCTTTTCATCCTACAATTTATCCATCAATATTTTGCTCTTCTGATTCTCCTCCAACACCTCCTTCAATCCACTTCCAAGTGTCTCCAACTCGCTCTGAACTGCACAGAATGCGTAGATGTCGTACAACAAGTTGAATGGTAGCATCACACTTATTTCGTAGAAAGTGAAACTGTTGTAGTAGCTATCCACTACCACCGTAACCAGGTTACAGATGAATTGGACTCCAATGAGACTCATCAAACAGACCCGTTGAATCCGATACTCCTCACTGAGCCTGAATCCAGCCAGAAGCACCAGCATCAGATCGATGGCCAGATTGATCAATTTGATGATCAGGTTCTCTGATACGCCCAAATCAACCCGATACTTCCTGATTGTGATTGAGGTGGCTCCTGGCTGCATCCGCAGCATCAGGTCGGAGACGTTGATCAGCAGAAAGAAGAGAAACGAGATCTGGAGACTCTTCAGTCTCTGCCTCTTCTCAAATGCATCAACTATTCTGGCATCGCTGTTTACGGCCGAAATGATTCTGGTTGAAATGTAACCAATTTTGTTGTAGAACGTGATGGCCAGAATGATCTCAATTGCAGTGGTTGCGACTGTGAGGACANCCTGATTGTGATTGAGGTGGCTCCTGGCTGCATCCGCAGCATCAGGTCGGAGACGTTGATCAGCAGAAAGAAGAGAAACGAGATCTGGAGACTCTTCAGTCTCTGCCTCTTCTCAAATGCATCAACTATTCTGGCATCGCTGTTTACGGCCGAAATGATTCTGGTTGAAATGTAACCAATTTTGTTGTAGAACGTGATGGCCAGAATGATCTCAATTGCAGTGGTTGCGACTGTGAGGACAACAAGAAGGTACCTGATTCTCAGTCCAGCAGACATGAAGAGAAATAGGATCTGTATTGCCTTGAGTATCGCAATTGAGTAGAAGAAGATCAGGATGATGATTGTGTTGTAGTAGAGCTGGACATTCTCGGCCAGAAGGGCCTGGACGAAGCCAATGAAGAGCAGCAGATTCAGGTTCAGGATCGTGGCGATCTTGTTCAGGACGTAGGCGGCTATTTCCTGGGACGCGTGGCTCTGGTCTGGGAGCTGCAGGACGAAGACGAGGACGTCCTTGGCCAGGAGGAAGAAGGCGTGGAGGAGGATGCGGTGGGAGATGTCACGGCGGATTCGGTTGATGTGGATCATGGGCTGCCCTTGTTTGTAAACAGTGAAACGGCCTCCCTGATTTGGTGACTCATTTCCAGGCGAAATGGATCGACCTTGTTTTTCTGGGCAGCAGCCAGGACGTGACTGGGGGAGTCGCCAGCACCGTTAGTTAGGGCAGTCTCCTCGTACCTGATCAGGTCGTAGAAGCAGTGATCACTATCGTTGAAAAGGGAGTCAATCACAGTCTGTTCAGGCTGAATGAAGTCACCTGACACCTTGAGGAGGCCAATGAATGTGTTGAAGACGCCTCTATCCATTTTGGACTGCTCTTTGGCCAATTCATCAATTAGTGATCCATTGTTGTAGAACATTGGTAGAGTCACCAGGAGTGGAGCCAGTCGATTTGATTCAACCAGGTAGGCGACCAGACACTGCTGTGGCACATTCATCAATTTGCTTCTGATCACCTTTGAGTCACCGTATTCCTGGAAGACTGATTCAATGATGGTCTGGTAGTCAGAATGAGTCAGGGTGTAATTTGGGTCAGACAGGTTTCGGTAGATTGGATGGGCCACGCTATTGATGGTATCAGAAATGTGGGAGTGGATTTCTGGTTTGGTCTCTCTGATTAGTTGGGTTAGTTCTCTCATTTCGTAGAATAGTTCTGGGGCAGAAGTGAGAATGACAGTTAGTTCTGGTTTAGACAGATTGGATTCAGCTGCTATTTTGGGAATGGTACTGAATTTGAGTGAAGTTGGCAGTGGTAGATCAGACATGGGTGAAAATATTGTAATAATATTATAACTACCATCATTATTAACTAATTACCACCACACCTATTAAACCTCTCTTTCACCATTCTTTTGATTCTCTCCCCATATTTCTCTGGATTTGCAGCTGTCCTTGTATCACCGTAGAATACCAAACTGTACATTCTCTCTACCTTCTTCCCAATTCTGTACTCAGTGAGGGTGTCTACAATTCCAATTGCACATTTGCTCCCATCTGAACTGACTCCAACCACTATTGAATAATCCATGAGACCAATACGAGTCAGAAAATCAATATCAGAATTGAGCTGACTGATGCTACTGGGAGAGAGACCTATGGATCCATCCAAATTGTGCCTGATTGCACTGATCTCATTCCGCCTCAGATTGGTCCCCTTTAAGTCGTATATTCTGCTATACTTCCTATCAAGCACATTCTGCATCACTACGTAGTGGTGCTTATGGCCTGTGAAATACTCAACTGTGAATATCCCATGGTATCTGGCAATGAATGTGTTACCACGGCAGTGTTCCACAAAATGGGAGATGTTTTCAACCAAATAGTCGAATTCACCCTTTCTGATCTCCTTAATGCAGTACTTGAAGTCGCCTGTGTAGAAGACAAGCGAGTTTGACTTGCCCCTGACGTGTTGGTTGAACACGAATTCGTCACTGGTGATTTGCACTACCTGTTTGGTGCCCAGTATTCCACCACAGTGCATTTCACCAATAAATGATTCATCAAATACGACTTGATCAGTCTGATCAATTAGTTCTGAATCAATCTGGTTGCATTCGATATCATCGTCATAGTCTGTGAAATAGCGTACTGTTCTGATTGCGTCTCTGATTCTGTCTATTTTGATACTGCTCAGTTCCATTGGGATGGTTGTGGTCTGGTTGATTTGATTGATAAAGGGGTAGTTGCAATATTATTGATAGACTATTAATTACTGCCTATATTCCAATTTCATCAGTCTGAATATGGGCATGGGTCTCATTCCTTATTTTTTGCATATTTCTAATCAAACAGTATCCTGGTACAGCCAATCCATGCAATACGACACTTACGAAGACTGAGCACATTGCGTAATCAACGGTGAGGGCATCGAACTTGATGTCGTAGAGGAGCGAGTAGTAGACAGCACCAACACCAATGGGCCCAAAGAACCCAATGAATGCTGCCTCAACTGGTGTTTTGATTGCTGGAATAAGTGGCCTATAGAGAACCAGAACAGTAATCAGCCTAATCAGAATCACCAGAAATATGACCAGAAACATTCTGGTGTTGAACCTGCTGAAGTCGATTCTCGAACCAAGGAAGACGAACAGCGCCATGAAGAAGCTGTTTTCAATCACGTCTGATATTTTGGTGTTTGATTGCTCATTCGTGTACCAGGCGCCCTTGTTGAGAAAGAGGCCAGCGAAGAAGATGGCAATGAGTTCAGATCCATCGAGAATGGTCATTGCTGCCAGATTCAGAAAAGCAAGGGCAAATGAATGGATCATGAGGATGTCTGAGTTGAGCAACTGGTGCTGGTAGCACTTCTTGGAGCAGAAACGGGTGACTGATCCAAGAATGGAGCCAACCAAAATGCTGATGACTATTTTCAGGAGAAATGTGTCAAGGAGGAAGTCGATGAGAACGGCCCTGATATTTCCAAGGGAGATTGACTTGTTAAGGAGGACGCTGATGTTGAGAAGGACGATTCCAATTCCGTCATTCACGCCTGATTCGGCCACAAGGAGCATTCTGAGGTGCTCATCCACGTTCTTCTTCGCAAATCGGCCTGAAACAATGGAGCTGCTCAGAATTGGATCAGTGGGCGTGAGAGCGGCAGCAAGGGCCCAGCTCGTGGCACCGCCAAAGTACGTGAAGGCGAAGATGCAGAGAAACGTCAGAAAGCACTTCAGAATTCCAGCCGTGATGATCAGGTTGAAGAGACTGGTCAGATTCCGCCTAAGATGGGTCTGATCCACTTTCAGGGCAATTGCCATGGTTTGGAGGCAGAGGACTATTCGACTGAAATTGAGGACGATGACCTTGCTGTAGACGTAGTGGGTGTTCAGAATATTCAGGCCGTGGTGGCCTACTGCAATTCCAAAGAGCATCGTGACCAGGGGGTCAGGGATGTGGTATCTGTTTTTGACGTATTTCGCAACCATCGAGTAGAACAGGATGAAGAGCGAGGACGCACAAAGCAGCTTGGTGATGTCTTCCATGTCTGAAACGCCCTTACCGTTTTAGATGCGAGACCGAAGTTGCAGTCGTAAACAAGGGCTACGATGCTTCCAATTTGCGTCTTCTTTTATGTAAAATAAGCTTAAATCTCTTTATGCATTTCTAATTGTTTCATTCGCAGAAGTCATCTTTCTTTCACTTGTTCTTTTCCCTTAGATTTGCGTTACTCAGGTTGCTTCCTTTGATGAGTCTGCAATACGGCTTATACGCCAGTTCCAGGCAGAATACGAATGGAATCAGGAGCAGGAAGAAGACTGCTGCAAGAAGAGACCACGACCTGAATCCCTTTGCCACCACTGCGAATGCGACTGTGTCGGCGTACGCTGCTGGAAGCCCTGCTTCTGCCATTGACCTGCATCCGATTGCCTTCTCGATCCCGTCTGCCTGCTTCTCCACCACTGGTCGTGTTATGTAGACAAGCAGCCCCAGAAAGAGTGCCTCAAGCAGACTCCACCTCAGAAAGAGCCCCAGACTCCGATCATGCCTGTAATACATGTAGACTATAAATAGGTTTGATATGCCCATTCTTATGAGTAGGTTCCTTAGACTGCACCTGTTCTCTTCAATTGTCTTTAATGTTTTGTCAGATCCACGCATGGGTCAAATTTATAAATAATTGTAGTAGAGTAGTAAGTAGAGTAGTAGAGTAGTTATATAAGTAGTTACACTAGTTAGTCTATCTACTAACCTACTGATACTACTGATATTACTGACACTACTAATATCAGTAACAACCCTATTTATTACAGCCTATATTTCATTCTCATATTGTTCCATTTTCACCTTCATCTCTTCCATGATCTCATCTGGTACTCCATTCCCCTCTTTCTTAGTCGAATACTTCTCGTATCTCACACACCTCTCTTCCTCCAAGTCTTCTACCTCAACATCCTCTATTTCAGTATACTCAATATTCTGCCTGCATATTCTGCTGTATCCACTCCTATCATCCACCCGTATCTCAACCACGCCATCTTCTGCCACCTGCTTCAACGTCTCAATGCACTTTCGTAGTGCCTTGCTTTCCTCTCCTCCTTCCATGCTCTCAGCCAGACAAATCATCCTGTAAACCAAGGTACTCATTGAATCAACGTACGCATTCTCACACTTAAATTCCATCACTAACTCCCCCTTCCTCCTCACACTCACCATTGCCTCGTTGTTGATGAATGCCATCCTGTTCTCAAACTCCTCATTTCCCCCTGACTCAAATTCCACTCGTACACCGTAATCCAGTTCCACCCTATCATAGGATGAATAGTGAAGTTGGCCGCAATTCTCACATACAACTGCATTCATCACCTTGTGTGGCCGTACATCTGCCACCAGAAACCAGCAATTCTGCTTCACTCCGTCACAGTAGGCGCACTTTGACTCAGTCGATCTGATTTGGTAGACGTGTTCTGGCATGGAGTAAAATGTTGTAGTAGAGTAGTAGTGAAAATAATAGAGTAGTAATAATAGGGTACTAGTAATAATTGTACTAATTACTGTAACAACACCTACGAACTTACTGGAGTAAACACTTCTATTGTCCCCTCATCTGATACCACCACAATCTGGTCATCCTGTACGAAGACTGAATGCCCCTTGTCCACCTCGATCCTGAACCCATCGAAAACAAGCTCATTCCTCTTCAGTGCCACCAATCCACCCCTGAACATTGCGAAATCGATCATCTTTGGCTCCACCTTCCCAGAATGCACCAAATGGTCGCTGCCAATTCCACCCTCGTAGACCGATACGCCACTGCTGTTCACAAAAAGGTGGTTCTCCTTCACAGAGAGCACCGGCTCCAGCTCCATCGCCCCCAGCTGCTCGCACTCCCTCGAATCGATGTCGTACTCGACCAGGACGTTCCTGGAGTCGATCACAAGGAGCCTGCTTCCGAGCCAGCCCACGATCTCGTAAACCACCTTCTTCTCAAAGAAGGCGGAATGGTGGCTTCCGCCACTCAGACTGTACGTCTTCACGAATCCAGTTGCATCGAGAAGAAAGAGCTGGTCGCGAACTAGGGCGATGTTCTTGACGGAGACACTGTGCTGGAGAGTCAGAAGCGACTTCTGCTCCCTGCCGCTGACCTCGACCACTCGCACCGCATTGGCGTCGCAGACGTAGCCGACTCGAACGCGTCCATCTCCTCCGTCGCTGATGCACATGTTTCGTACGCTGCTGTCTGCGATCTTCGAATACGATTCACCCGAATAGTCACCGTAGTAGATGCTGAATCCGTCACAGAGGAAGATGCACCCATTTTGAAGAAAGGCCTCCCTGACCAGAATGTTCAGTCTCACCACCTGAATCCGCTCCAGTTTCATCTGGTTTCCACCCCTGCCATTTCTGCTGAACAAGTCAACCACTTCCTGGTGCCTCTTCTTCTCGTTTTCCAGTGAATGCATAATGGACTCAATTCGGTGTCTCGATCCAACGTGATAGGGCGATGCGCTCCTTACGTCTGCCACCTCCACAAAGTGCTCGTACCACCGCCACAGGGTGCTCTCTTCCCTTCTTTCAGCCCGTCTTCCCCTTTCATCGTCTATTTTTGCCTCTGTTCTGAATGCCTCTGCTGCCTTGCTCAGGCCGCTGCATACGAGGTGCTCGTAGACCAAATGGTTGAAGTCCTCTACTGGTTTGGTCATGGAATGGGTGTACAGGCTGAGGATGTCAAACAAGTAACAATGATTGATTTGACAGGGTAGTAAATAGGGTGGTAATAGGGTAGGGTTAATAGATAGGGTAGTAAATAGAGTAATAATAGGGTAGTAGTAGTAGTAATAGGGTGGTACAATTATTTCTACTACTACTACCATTTCTACTACTACAACTATTCTACCCATGTATCCTTCTACACTAATCAGACTCAATAGGAAGAACACTGTCTACGTCGAACTAAAGAACAGCACCAAAGTGACTGGATTCATGTTGAACTGTGACGTAGCAATGAACATGCACATCAAGAATGCTGAAATAGAGGACAGGAGTGGGAAGACAAAGGTGAGTGAGATGTACTTGAGGGGACAGAGCATCAAACTGGTTAAGTTGCACACGTGGGTGATGAGCAAGCAGGAGATGTTCGTGTGACTAGCTAGTTGCACAATAACCCCTAATGAACATTTTGGTGCTTCTACCACTGGCTCTACTGGCAGACAGGAATAAACCAAGTCTAATTCAGGCAATGATTAGAACAGTGGCACTGTTTCCAATGACAGTATTCAACTTTGCTCTCCACGCGTACTACAAAAGAAAGGGAATTAGACCACAAACAGCAAGTAGACTTGTTTTTAATAATTTTATCAGGAGACTAACTAACAAGGATAATAAGGAGAGTAGTAAGGATAATGATAAGAGTAACAAGAATGATAAGAATGACTAAACTAAACTAGACTAAACTAAACTAAACTACTTCTTCTCTACTACATTAAATAGTGGTTATTTATTAGTCTAACAATCTACTCATCTACTACTCAAACTCAATCACTTCATTGATCCTTAGAACTGCTATTGCTGCCTCTGTAGCTGCCTTCAATGCCTTCATTTTGTATCCAACTGGCTCCACCACCCCACTTTTCAGGTTGTCTCCTACGACACATCCACCCTCAGTGATGTTCACGCCACACGGTGCCCCTGTCTCCAGACTCATCCGCTCCATTTGGCCAAACACCTCCAATCCGCAGTCACCTGCATTCTCAACCAGCCCAACCACGATGTCTCGCAGTGCCTCTGCGTATTTGTAGATTGCGATGTGCTCTCTCATCTCAATGCGACTGGCATAGTCCCTGAGGTGGCTGTAGAGCATCTGCTCAATAGCACCGCCACCAGGTAGGACACTGACATTGCTAATGTTACTGTTACTAGAGTTACTATTGTTACCCTTATTGTTACTAGTAATATTGTTACCCTTACTATTGTTACCCTTACTAGTAATATTACTACCCTTACTATTGTTACTAGTAATATTACTATTATTACTATTACTGTTACTACCCTTATTATTACTATCACCCTTACTATCACAACTGTTACTACCTACCACCCTCAGTACGTCATTCATTGCCCTGTGTACCTCATCGCATATTTGTCTACTTCCTCCCCTGATCACCACTGTCTGAATCCCACAGTCGATCTCAACCATCCTGTGCTCCCCAAACTGCCTGATTCTGAATCCGCCTCTGACACTGCCACTTCCACAGGGTGCATCGTTGATCACTGCCCCAGTCGCACTCCGAATCAGTCGCAGATCGTCGACGTGGACTCGTCGTACGACAGTGACGCCCAGTCTCACGCACTCCCTGACGCAGCAGTCGTCCATTCCACCAGTCAGCAGAATCAGCCTCGTTTTGACGCCGTCACCTACGATCTCATTCAGCCGCCTCAGAGTCAGCTCCCTCTCGCACTGCCCAATCTGGTCAGTCTCGTCCACTGCCGCGTACGCTGTTCCAAGAGGCATCTTCTCCCTCATCAGGCTGAAGTCACCCAGAAATATCCCAGTCTGTTTCGAACTGAACGAGTTCATCAGCTCATCGGCCACGGTGCAGTTCAGCACCAGTCCACTGATCAGGTGGCTGTCACTGATTGATCCACCAGTCTGTTTGACTATTTTGATCAGTCTCGGATTGGTGATGGATGTGATGATGCTGGTGAAATGAGATAGGTGATCAGAGAGTATCTTAGAAGCAAGGGTGGAGGTGATGATGTTATAACTGTTACTATTGTTATTACTGTTACTACTATTGTTATTATTACTATTGTTATTACTATTGTTATTACTAGTAACACTACTAACATTAGTAATGTTATTACTAGTAACACTGTTCACCCCCCTTGACATCATCTTCTTTACTATTTCGTTGAATGCCATCCTGTACCCATTCACTACCACAGTTGGCTCCAGGCTGAACTTGTTGATCAGCTCCACCCCATTTGATATCAGTGCGTGGCTCAGCAGCACCACTGTCGTCGTTCCGTCTCCAACAGATCGGTCCTGCTCAACTGCCACACTTCGTAGGATGTTGCAGACTGGCTCAGAGAGAAGAAGCGACTTGCAGATCGTAGCACCGTCATTTGTGATGAATACGTCACCAGTTGCATCAATGCACATTTTATCAAGGCCCATTGGGCCAAATGACGTCCTCAATGCCCGATGCATCGGCTGTAGATCAGTCAGGTGCTTCCTGTAGGCCGCCTTTCCGCCGTGGACACGCGTGTTGGTGAGGAGAGCAAAGTTCTCATGTGAAGTATCACGAGGAGAAGACATGGGTGAAAATAGGCAAAAATATTCAGCAAAATAATCAGGGCAAATAGAAAGGGTAGTCACCCATAGCATTATGGATAACAAGGAGAGGAAGTACAGGATAGAGAAGTACGAGGTAAAGGGTGATGGAAGTAGTAGAATGGGACTGAAAGTGACTAATAAGGTGAGTAGTGTGACTAGTGTGAGTAGTAAGGTGACTAGTCACAGAAGTAACTTTACTAATTTGAGGGTATTCAACTTCAAACACATTAGTAGGAGGTATCAATAATTGCAACTACAATTGCAATTATAGTGCACCATTTACTACTTGAATTTACTGCTTGAATTCACTACCTGAATTATTCCTGCTTTACGTAACTGAATATTCTCTTAGGATACTTCTTCATGAGAATACGCGTGTTCTTGCTCTTCAGATGCTTCTGGTGCGAGCTGAGTCCTCGTCTCAGTGCTCGCGTCTTCTTCTCCCTCAGCTCCTTTGGAACGTGCCTCTTCTTCTCGTAGATCTCACACATCGCCTTGATCTTCTTCTCCTGCTGAACCGTCTTGATTCTGGCTATGCTCTTCCGTGCCATTCGAATTGCATCTGGCTCAACCTGCTTCGTGTGCTTCTGCTGCAGCAGATCCTGCAGCTCTGCCACTGTCTCCCTGTGCTGGTTGTTCAGCTGCTCGTCAGAGAGGGCTCTGAGGTCACTGGCCTGGATCATTGGGGATAAAAATAGTGAAATATTTTACAGGGTGAATAGGCGTAGGGTGGAATTGGAGTAGTCGATTTCGTAGTAGAAATCAACCACCCTGATGGTCCTGGGGTACTTCCAGCTGAAGTTGCCTATTTTGGTGCAGCAGGCTGCCTTGGTCTCGTTATTCGTGATATCAGAAATGGCACTGATTAGTTCAGGCAGATTGGATGAGTCCTGGTCCATGCAGATGCGTCTGGCTAGTTCAGGAAGAAGGTGTCTCATTCGTAGGAGATGACGGTAGTCCAATTCACCAGAATAGTGGCGGATCAGGCTGATTATGGGATCAGGGTGATTNAGGGTGAATAGGCGTAGGGTGGAATTGGAGTAGTCGATTTCGTAGTAGAAATCAACCACCCTGATGGTCCTGGGGTACTTCCAGCTGAAGTTGCCTATTTTGGTGCAGCAGGCTGCCTTGGTCTCGTTATTCGTGATATCAGAAATGGCACTGATTAGTTCAGGCAGATTGGATGAGTCCTGGTCCATGCAGATGCGTCTGGCTAGTTCAGGAAGAAGGTGTCTCATTCGTAGGAGATGACGGTAGTCCAATTCACCAGAATAGTGGCGGATCAGGCTGATTATGGGATCAGGGTGATTATGGGATCAGGGTGATTCAGGCTGTATCGAACTGATTCACCAGTGGAAATGTCAAACTGTAGGGGTGGTTCAGGTGGCTGATCATTCAGGTGCTCCTTGATTACGGCTGATTTGTGGGTGAATTCAAGGGGGAAGGGGGAATTTGACTGAATTTGATTCAATTTGGAGAGTTGGGCTGATTCGATCAGTGGGGCCAAATTGAGGTGGGAGACTGGCTGAAATGGGGTGGTAGAGGGTGGTGCACTGGATATTCTCATGAATGGGCCACTTAGCAGGTACTCCAAATCAGGGGCATGGTTTCAGGCTGTACAGCAGTTTGATCAAAATGATGAATGGATTTGGGTGGGATATTTCAACATCCTTGTTCAGCAGCAGATCAGAGGAGTAGCCGCCAATCAGCTGATCAGGTGCTACCACCAGATTCATGTATTGATCAAACTTGTTGGTGATGTTGATTGGATTCCGATTGAACTGGATTCTACTGCTCTCTTTTGGTATGGCCATGATGGCTTCTGGATCCAATTTGTCAGACTGAATCAGGTTGTTCATTTCGACGGTGTTGATGAATCTGCTGGTGATGAATACCCTGACTCTCCCACAGTTGATGAAGAATGTGAAATAGTTTGCTATTTTGTTGTGCTGAAGAAGACTGTAGCAGATTGTACTCTTTCTACCGTTAGTTATGGAGTTGTAGAATACTGGAATCAACTTATCGTAGTGCTTGTTATTTGTGGTGGATTTCTTCAGTTTCATACTTAATTTATGGTTACTTCTATTTGGGTAGTCTCCAGTATTTTCTACTTCCCTGACTACCCCTGCCATCTCTTCTCTCTCATATTCAACCAGTACATCCACACTTATCCTTCTACCATTGTAGTAGTATTCCACTACCCCTCCTTTCTCAGGCATTTTACTGCTATTTATGTCTATTTCACCCCTGTAGAATATTTTGAGTATTTCACCCTCGTATTTGATTTCAGCCGTACTAATCCATATTGCCTTATTTCTGATAAACTTGCTACCGTCATATCGTATTATGTACCTGCTTTCCTGGTCACAGACGTATTTCACCAATGAGTCATTCATGACCACCACCATTCCATCTTCGTCGTATAGGACTGACTCATCCTCTAGGAGTGGCCGCCTGATATTGGATAGAAAGACGTTGATGATGCTCTCATGTCCATCTTCCAGCTCCACCTCGTACTCGTAGACTCCATTCACCAGATCCATCAATGGGGCTGTTTGTTTACTAAACAGTCTTAAATAGTACGCTTATTCACCCTCATCAATGGCCACCAAAAACATCCTGTTTCTGTTTGGTGCTGCTGGAGCAGGCAAGACGACATTTGCGACCAATTTCAAGGAGAAGCAGAGCAGAATGGCAGTCACCCTGGTGAATCTGGATCCAGTTGTGCGAGACAGGGGCCAGTTTGACTTCGACATCTGCGACTACGTGAGCGTGGAGGACGTGATGGATGAATTCGACTATGGGCCAAATGGTGGGCTATTTGAGTCACTGCGGTACCTGGAGGAGATCTTCTTCCCTGACGAGACTGTCGATGACGAATCGGTCCCATTTCTCCAGCCTGATTCCATCACGATATTCGATTGCCCTGGTCAAATAGAGCTCTTTCTTCACTCGTCAATCATCCCCAATTTCATCAAGAGATTCTCAAGCAGGGAGGACTGCTCCATTGCAATCTGCTACCTGACGGATGGAACCACCATTTCAAGCCTGAACAAATTCAGGTTCAACCTGCTCATTGCCCTGGTGAGCACAAACAGGTTCGTGTTTCCGATGCTAAATCTGATCACGAAGACTGATCTGATGGACAGGAGTCAGAGAAGCGTGGTCTGGGACGAGACAGGGAGCTGTGTTTCGGTTGAGCTGGATTCAGAGGGAAGCCAGTTTGACAGGCGACTGAATGAGTTTGTTGAGCTCTACGGAATGAGCACGTTTGTGCCAGTCGACTGGGAAGACGACAGCTGCGTCGAAATGGTCTTCGAGAACGTGGGACGAGTCCTAGGCCTCGATTAGCTGCCAAATTGGCCTGGATGAAATTGGTGCATTTTTGTTGTTTTGTTAGCCCCTATGCCCAGTAAAAATAAAGGCACCACTTTCATCCAGGACGAATACGAGGCAGAACAGGACGCAAGCAGGGAGGAGCACGTGGCAGGCGGACAGGAGGGCAGGCCTGAGATCGTCCCAGTCCTCCAGAATGTGGTTGCGACTGTGAATTTGAACTGCAAGCTCGATCTGAAGAGCATTGCTCTCCATGCCAGAAATGCGGAATACAACCCAAAGAGGTTTGCGGCCGTGATAATGCGAATACGCGAGCCAAAGACGACTGCGCTGATCTTCGCGTCTGGGAAGATGGTGGTGACTGGCGCAAAGAGCGAGAAGGCGTCGCAGGTGGCGTCGCAGCGCTACGCCAAGATCATCCAGAAGCTCGGCTTCTCCGTCTTCTTCGACTCGTTCAAGATCCAGAACATCGTCTCGAGCTGCGACCTGAAGTTTGCGATCAAGCTCGAGGGCCTCGCCTACGCCCACTCGAACTACTGCTCCTACGAGCCAGAGCTGTTTCCTGGGCTGATCTACCGAATGGTGAAGCCTAAGATTGTTCTACTGATATTCGTTAGTGGGAAGATTGTGCTGACTGGGGCCAAGCAGCGTGAGGACATCTTCGAGGCATTCGAGAACATCTACCCCGTTCTAAGCCAGTACAGAAAGCTGTGACCATTTTGCGTAACCAATACCAGTCCACCATAAATTATTGTCCAATAGTGATCACTGTTCTACATTGCCAATGACACCTTCCTATTCCTCTGATGAGTGGTGATTCACCTTTACCGTTGTAAGGGGAATCAGTCAACTGCCTATTCATCTTCTTCAACAGCACCAAAGAAGAATGTTAGCACTGGGACTGAGACCATCACTATTCCAGCCAGAAATAGCAGTTTGGCAAAGTGCCTGTTTTTGGTTCTGATTTCCTCTTCTTCCTTGTCAATGTCCTTGAACATCTCCTCTTTTCCAATTTGCTACTTAACTGGCTGATGAACTGATCAGTGACTGAATTCTACTTGAAAACAAGAAACTCAACCAGGGCGTCTACGACCACTCCACCAGAGGCATCCATCTTCCCCTGCTTCAAAACACCCTTCACTTTGAAAGCAGCAGGGGTGCCGTCGAGAAGGTCGCTCTCCTTGAACAGACACGTGCACAGTCTCCGAAACAGCTCCTCTGACACCTTCCAGGGCCTCTTCAGTGGCACCAGACACTCTACCGTAACCAGTCTGTAACTCGTATTCTCTTTCTCCATTAGGGCTATTCAATATTTATGCTTCTGTAACATGAATAGTTGTTTGTATCAATCTGTAGTTTATGCGACCAATTATGCTTGTATCATGTGAGGACGACGTGTTTGAGGTTCCTGAGGACGTGTGCTGCACGAGTGAGACCCTGAGGCTGTTCATTGGCTGTGGCAGCACCAGAATGACTCTTCCGATCAAGACGAAGCACCTGGAAAGATGCATCGAATTCATGAGATTCAAGCACGCCTCAGAGAGTGGCGAAAGAGAGAGCAAGTGGCTTGAGGCGTTCAAGATCAAGGACGAGGAGGCCGTGGACATGCTGGACGTAGCCAGTTACATGCGACTGTAGTTGATTCCATGCATAAACTAGTTAAGCTTAACTGACTTATTCCAACCCCTGTGAAACATTCACCTTTTTGTGAACAGGTCGTAGGAGACTTCCTTGTATTCGACTATTTCGCCTATGTTTCCCACTGCCAGAATTCTGCCGCCATTCAGGGCGTATCTGACTGCATTCTTGTGCTCGACCTCAAGGACGTTGTTGAACAGGTTCGTCTGAAACAGCCGCATCGGATGCTCCAGCTCAACAACTCCGCCTTCTTTCTCAACCAGAATTCTGTTTGCTGCCACATCCAGCCCGTTTCCAAATAGATGCCCATCTCCTGATCCATATGAATATATCAATAGGGTGCATTCATCATCTCTATATTTCAGCGAGTATTCTCTGATTGTACAGCTTCGTCCTTCTTCTGCCTGCCACAGACTGTAACTCAGCTCCCTGTAGAATTCATCAAATTCAATCTGGTTGTAGAACGTCTTTCCGAATACTTTGCATGCCCTGTTCTTGCTCACGTGGTTCTCGTACGTCACCCACGCACTGCTGCACTTTGAATAGGTCTCAATCATTCTGTCAGTGATCAAAATGGTGTTTCTGAACGAATACTGTGATCCAGCCTTGCTGAAGATGTTCTCGTTGATCTTTGGCGTCTCCCTGAGCTCCTTGGCCAATTCCTGGTAGCTGCTCTTTGCTGCTGTCTCCCTGATGAATTCCACGGCCACTGCTCCCCCTGGGCCCTGCCTTCTCTTTGTCTCCACCCCTGGCAACTCCTCGTTCTTCACCATTTCGTAACTCGCCTTGCAACTGCCCTGTTCCAGAAACTTGTTCGTCATGAAGAACTCCCTGCTCTCCTCTGCCACCCTGTCGCCCTGCTTCACTGTCTGATACTCCTTCTTCAGCTCCTTCTTGAACCTGCTGTTTCCTGCTGGATAGTTCAGAATGGTTGGTGATCTGTTCTCTCCCACCAGTCTCCCTCCACTCAGACAGCTGCTCTTGTGTGACTTGTAGAATGGTATTGCAGTAGTCACAATCTCCCCTGCTTCCTGCTCACTCTCTGAATCAACAAGCGTGAATACTTTTTTATCTCCTGCCATATAGGCGTGATATTCATCGCAAATATAGTGATAGTGGTAGTTAGTTAGTTAGGTGGGGTGGTAGCAACTACAGTGGTAACTACGTTAATTATGGTGTTGGTTATTCAATCTAGTTATTTGCCTATATTACCCTATTACTCCCTACTACACCCCATTACTCCCTATTAGTGTTGTTTCTCTTTTTCACCCATGAATCCATTAGACGAAATTAGCATCAAGGAATTCGTGCTTGATTCATATTCAAATGGCGAGTTCAGCAAATTCTCATTTGGTGACGTGGAAGAGCAGTACACCTGCATCATATTCTACCCACAGGACTTCACATTCGTCTGTCCAACTGAGCTAAGGAAGATCTCGGAACTCAACCAGCAGTTTCTGGACCTGAAGACACGGGTTGTCTGCTGCTCGAATGATTCAATTCACTCCCACAAGGCGTGGTCAAATCGATCTGTTCACGATGGTGGATTGGGGCCAATGAGCATTCCAATGCTCAGTGACAAGAACAACAAGCTGTCGAAGTATCTTGGTCTCTTCAACGAGAAGGAGGGCTACGTCTGCAGGTCCACGCTGATCTACGACAACAAGAATGGGACTGGGAAGTATCTCAGCGTGTACGACGATGCCATTGGAAGGTCGTCCTTTGAGTTGATGAGGCTGCTGGAGGCATTCGACTTCAACGAGGTGCATGGGAACGTATGTCCAATTGACTTCAAACGAGCTAATTAAATGAGACTGCCTTAGTTCTGATTAGTTCTGCTTCTACCCACAACAGCACTCAAACAGCACCGTAAACAACCTCAAACAAATAATTCCAGCTGTAAACAACATGCTACCACTGTTGTTGAGGAGTGCCAGGATGCTCACGTTGGATGAGAGGTGCCAGCAGATTGGGATTGAGCCAGAAGTCTGTCTCAAATACACCAGCAGTGCACCAGAGGCACTGACGTGTGACGTGTATCGTGGATGCAACGATAACACGAGTGTTGGATCAGGGAAGATCAATGTTGTTGATCTGTTGCGGATTGTGAAGGAGATCAAGGCAGGAAAGAAGGACGGTGAGAAGACTAAGAAGTGTGAGAGTGTGCCAGCAAGCACGGCTGGCCAGTGCACCTGTTCCAGTGCACCAAATACCCAGTGCCACGACGTGACAGTCACGCGTGTCCAGTACTCGACAGTGAGCATTGATCGGCCTATCACGCTCTACCGTGAGATGACTACGACAGTGACACGTGTGCGACCAATCACGAACTACAAAGTCACCACGTTCACTGAGACAGTGACAGAGAGTAGGAAGGAGGATGAGAAGACGAAAACGAAGACAACGACGAGTGATGAGGTGCCTAAGACAGTCACAGTCAGCCCAACAAGCAGCAAAACAAAACCAGTGGAGTCATCCACAAGTTATAGCTCAATTCCACCTGTGACAGTGAATGAGACTGTGACCAAAACAGTGACCAAAACAAACCCAGGCGAGACCACACCCCAATCCACCCGCCCTAGTGCAGTCAGGCCATCCAGCTGTGAGCCTGGTAAACTCAGCTGTGATAAAACGTACAATATAAAACTAAGTAGGAAAGAAGTAGACAGACTCATGCGGAAGAAGAAGCGAGTCAGAACGAGGACCATCGTAAACACGGTCTACCGTAAGAAGCGTGGGGACGTGAGTGACGAGACGGTGACAACCACGGTCTACAAGTGATTTGCTTTCTCTACAGTGATTCCCATTTATCATGAGACAGGGGCACTAAGAGCACCAAGCAGGTTGGGTGGAATTGGGTTGCTTTGAGGGCAGCCTGTGAGATACTCCACAACACGCCTGGAAAGTGACAGGATGAAATAGGAGTCCTTTTGGGTGATGCTGGTGAATTGGGCTGAGGTATCCACCTCGAGTTTGTGTCTGACGGTGTCGAGATCCCTACGAAGATCACACGCGTATTTGGCATCGAATGTTTTGAGCTGTTTGTAGAACTCCCTAAAGAGCTTACGGATTCCATTGCAGGTGTTTTCAATTTCAGTGATGATCAGGTACTTCAATTTGCAGAGAATCGTGGACTCGGCTTCAGCAGCAGCTGCATTTGTCAGTTCAAGAAGATGGGTGAGCTGTTCGAATGTCTTGGCCTGGAGACCAAACTCGGTGTCCTCGACGATCTCAGCAACTTGGGAAGGATTTCCCTTTGCTACGTTTTCGATAGTAGTTGCCATTTCACTCTTGATTAGAGCAAGAATGGCCTTGGCCTGTTGCTCAAGACGATCGAATTCAGTTACAACACACTTTTCAAGGGCAGATTGGAAGACAGTCAGGCGCAGATTTATCAGGGCGATGATTTCGGCCTCGAGTTTCGTGATGAGGCCTTTGACCTCGCTGTACGCAGCTGCATTCAGGGCAGCCAGAGACGTGTGAAGCGTAGTAAATGCATTCTCACCTGCCGCATGAGACGCAGTAGTCAGGTTCGTCTGCATGTTCTTGAACAGCAGCTCGATGTCCTTGACTGCATTGTTGGCCTTCTCGTTCGGGACACAGTCTCCGTTCTGCAAGGGCTGGCACGGGTTGCCGTTGCGGTAGCAGAGGACTCCTAGGAATCGGCTCAGGGCTATCAGCATATGCATAAAATAGAAATTGTTTTTATACCTGACACGAACAAATTGTTGCATTTTGTTCGTCTATTAAGCATAATGGACCTAATTGGAAAGTGCCTATATTCTATGTTCCTAAGAACTCCTATCCTTATGAATAACCCTTTCACTCTACAAATATAATTGTCATCTTGTTGTTTTTGTCATTTTTCCCCCTATGATTAACAATATCAAGTTTCTCTGGTACACGAAGGAGGAGGTTGTTAGGCTGTCTGAGAAGGAGGTGAAGGTGGCTGCGTCTCTCGACAAGTTCGGCCACCCTGTTCCAGACGGAATGTACGATCTCGCAATGGGCCCCTGTGATTCCGACCAAGTCTGCAAAACGTGCTCGTTGGACTGCCTCCAATGCCCAGGCCACTTTGGTCACATCCCAATTCAGCCTGTGATCAACCCACTCTGTTACGAAATGCTCTTTCTGATTCTCAGGGCGTCCTGCTCAAACTGCTTCAAACTCAAAGTCTCCCAAAATGAGAAGTTGAATTTCTACCTCGAATTGGAACAGTGCGAGACCAATCTGCGTACGACCAAGGCGGAGACATTCCAGGAGTTTGAGGAGATTCTGGTTGGTGGTGAGCGTAGAAACGGCCACTGCGAGGAGGAGCACCACTCTGTGGCTCTGACCTGGCTCAGAAAAGCAAGCACCAGGGGCAGATGTCCTTTATGCAATGGGACGAACAAAAAGTACAAGAAGGGCGCCAATATGCGCATTCTGTGCGATGATCCGATGGATGGGCTTGTGACTGTGGGAAACCGTGACGTGATGAAGGACGTGAATGCGACCTACGCCAATGACAAGGTGATATTTGACAAGCTGCTGAAGATTGGGGATGACGAGAAGGGTGGAATTGGATTTCTGTTTCTTGAGGTGCTTCCAGTCACCCCCAACAAATTCAGGCCAATTAAGAAGAGAGACGGGTTTGTGTTTGAGAATGCCACGAATGCGCAACTGAACTCGATTCTGACTGCGTCCCTGCTCTCTGAGAGGGACGAGAAGTACTCGGCCGAGTTGCAGAGCCTCGTTTCGCTCTACTTCGACTCGGCCAGGGACCAGAAGCAGCAAGGAATCAAGCAGCTGCTTGAGAAGAAGGAGGGTCTCTTCAGACAGAACATCATGGGAAAGCGAGTCAACTACTCGGCCAGATCGGTGATATCCCCTGATCCGTGGATTGGAACTGGTGAAATTGGGGTTCCACTCGTCTTTGCGAATCAGCTCACGTTTCCTGAGCGAGTCAACTCCACCAACCTGAAGAAGATGCAGGAGCTGGTGACTGGTGGCCCATGCGCGTATCCTGGGGCCAATTTCGTATTGGAGAAGACTGATTCCCAGCAGAAGCTGCTGAGTCTCAAGGTGCTCTCCAAAAGCAGAAGGAGGCAGATTGCTGCTCGATTTGCCACTTCCAGGTGCGAATTCACTGTCTACAGGCACCTGGTCACTGGAGACCGTGTTTTGGTCAACAGGCAGCCATCTCTTCACAAAATGTCGATGATGGGCCACCGTGTCCGAGTTCTCAAGAACGAGAAGACGCTTCGAATGCACTACGTGAACTGTAAGCCGTACAACGCCGACTTCGATGGTGACGAAATGAACATCCACTTCCCACAGTCGCATGCTGCCCAGGCTGAGATTGAGGAAGTCTGCCTGACTGATTTCAACTTTCTGGTTCCGTCTACGAATGAGCCAATTCGTGGACTGACCCAGGACCATCTGGTTGTTGCTGCTGTGATGACAAGCAAGAATGAGATCTACGACCGTGATGAATACCACCATATTGTCCATAGTGCACTCTATGAGGAAGTTGATGGCCCCCTTGTTTTCGTGGATCCATTTCTGACTGTCTCAGATGGTGAATCAAGGCGTGTCTTCTACAGTGGCCTGAACGTAGTCAGCACCGTCTTGGTGAATGTGACTAAGGGGCTTCCAACAAGCCTAACTCACCGATTCAAGTCTAAAATAACAGGGGAGACTGTCATATTTCGTGAATCAGAGATGCTTACTGGGCTACTGGATAAGAACACCCTTGGAACAGCAGTTAACTCGTTGATTCATGTTTGTGGGAAGCTATTTGGCTACAAAATATGCAATAGGCTTCTTACGATATTTGGGAGAATGGTGAATGGGTACATGGCATTACGGGGATTCACATTGGGCCACGACGACTTGCTTCTCGATGAAGAGGGGGAAAAGAGGCTTCAGAACGAGCTACTGGTCAGAAACAGGCGTAGTAGGGTGGAATCAGAGAACAAGAGCAACATTCAGGTGCTGTTGAGGGAGACAAACGGGGCATTGAGTGGGTTACAGGGGCTTCTGGCGAGTTCAATGCAGAAGTCGTTTTTAGGCAACAACATTCTGGCGATGGTGCAATCAGGGGCAAAGGGATCAATGGTGAATGTGTCACAGATTTCGATATGTCTGGGGCAGCAGGAGCTGGAGGGAAAGAGAGTTCCAGCACAGGCGAGTGGGAAGTCACTTGCCTGTTTTGAGGCTGATGAATATTTCACGAGTCCAGCAGCAGGTGGATTTGTCTACGAGAGGTTTCTGACTGGGCTGTCTCCTGGCTCATTCTACTTCCATTGCATGGCAGGAAGAGAGGGGCTGATTGATACGGCCGTGAAAACAGCAAATTCAGGATATTTGCAAAGGTGTCTGGTGAAGCATCTTGAGGGAACTACGATCTGCTACGATGGGACTGTGAGGAATCACAGGAGAATAGTCCAATTTGAGTACGACGGTGATGCAGATCCAGGCGCATCTGTTGGGGTGTTAGCAGCTCAGAGCATAGGAGAGCCATCTACGCAAATGACACTAAACACGTTTCACCTGGCTGGAGTTGCTGGGAAGAATATGACATTGGGGATTCCGAGACTCAGGGAGATTGTGATGGTTGCATCTAAAAACATAAAGACGCCCATAATTAAAATGGCAGTGGATGAGAAGATGGGGATGAAACTGGAACAGGTGTTCAGGCGAGTGACTGCATCTGACTGTGTGGGGCAGCTGTGGGCTGAGGAGCAGTTTGTGAAGGAGAGGAATGCGGTGGCTGATGGATTCGTCAAGCGTGTTGTGGTCACATTCAGAATCCTTGATGAGGAGGGTGCCGTTGTTCATGCAATTGACAATTTGTTTGTCAGTAAGCTTAATCGAATGATCAAGGTTAAATCGACTTCTTGTGGCATTGAAATGAATGAACAAGATGAACAGGTTCATGAGACGAAGAAGGAGGAAAATAGCGATGACGAGAGCACCGATGTGGATGATACCACGGTGGATGGTGAGACTGAGACCAACAAGACGCCCCTGAGTGAATCAGGTGATTCAGATTCATCGGAATCAGAACATTCTCATGGTTCCAGTAACCTCATCCATCTCAGAATGACCAAAAGTGGCCTATATTCCCTGGAAATCAACTTTCAGCCTACGATGACTCAGAATATTCTTCCACTTGCAGAGGCTGTTCTAAGCAAAATTGTGATACGAGAGATTCCTGGGTTTGCTGGTGGCAAAATGGACACTACCCGACCCAACCACCCTGGTCCAGCCACATTCTACCTTGATGGATCCAATTTCACCACACTTTTCAATATCACCCTGATATCCAATAATCCCGATGTATTCTACAATTCGTACTCAAATGACATTCACTCAATTTGTGGCCATTTTGGAATAGAAGCAGCTAGAAATGTGATTGTGGCTGAAATTGAGAGCGTATTCGATGTCTATGGAATCAGAATAGAAACAAGGCATCTTGATTTGGTAGCAGACTATTTGACAAGGGATGGATTGTATCAGGCATTCAACAGGCAATCATTTGACATGGATGATTCAATATTGCAGAGGATGTCATTTGAGAGCTGTTTTGAGAGAGTGAAGGATGCCAGTCTCTTTAGGCTGAGTGACAATATGAACAATCCTAGTGCAAACATTTGTGTAGGGAATATGATTCATAATGGAACAGGCTGCTTTGATCTGCTGTATGATTTGGACATATGAAATTAGTCAATTTTTAGTTGCATATTCCTTGGTGTTTCTTGCTTCCATACGATGTGGCGTATGTTGCAGACCATACTGCAATTACATTGGTTATTTTGACACTGATTTCCTTCACAATCACACAGAGACGGGCTTTCAGTTCCTCAACATTGCCTGTTGCTACTGCATTTGAAGTAAGAATGTTCTGTTCCAGTACACCACAGATATCAACCAGGAGACACTTCTCTGTTTTGGCTAGAATTGTAGTCAAATTGGCGTAGAATTCCTCAAAGAGATTCCTCAGGTCATCTTGAATGATGCAATCCTGATTTCTCATTCCTGCTATCAATTTGTGCTTGCATTTATCATGTTCGCTACCCATTCTGGTTTGTATCTTCCTTGCTACCTTTTTTACATCTTTGAGATCATCTCTTTCATCACTCTCATCAGGTTCACTGTTCTCTCTTGAACCATCATTTGATCTTGGATGATCATTTGGCCTACCGTTTCTCCTTGATCTTGAATCGTCATTTGGTTTAGAAACATCTCTAGGTTCAGCAATCAGTGCAGAGACCTCGCTGGCTAAGGAAGTTCTAAGTGATTCCATTTGGTTGCTGATAAGAGAACTGAGATCACCATCCTTCTTGCAACAAAGCACTTCTACGGCATCCTCCAATTCATCAACCAATGCCTTGATTTCACTCTGCTGCAAAGAGAAGCATTTGTTGATGGCTGCCTCAATAAGCTCCTCCATCTCATTGCAGTTGATCTGATTTCCTTCGCATATTACATTCTCAGTTGATTCGTAGGCCTTACAGATCCTGACCTGGAGCTCCTTGATCAGGACGGAAATCATCTGTGAGAGATACGCGATGGTGGTCGTGCAGTCGCCCTCCCTGTCTCGTGATTCCTTCTTGTACTTTGGCTTCTTCCTGTAGGGAATACACCTTTCAGTCGAAGAGGAGTCGCTGTCGTAGCAGTAGCTCACTGCATCCCTGCTGGTCAGGTCCTGCCTGTTGGCATAGCCTTCGAATGCAAAGCAGAGCAATGCGTGAATCATTGTCAACATACTTTATGCTTCATTTCTTTTTTTATACTTATACGAACAAAATACACACATATTTTGTTTATCTGATTAAGCTTATTTCATAGTTAATTCATTCATATTGCCCCTGTATTCTACTTCATATTGTTTCATTCATTTACTAATTGGTAGTGTCTTCATTTCCACTGGTCTTATCTGTTACAATAGTGGTATTGCTCCTGATAATCCTGATGATACTGTTGTGGTGCTGTTAGAAATTGTACTGGATAAACTCCTTCAACGTATCCACAGCCTGTGAGTCTCTCAATCAGCCTCTTTAGGATCGAAACCACCAAATAGGCGTCTTTTGAGAGAATGCGATCAATGGCATCAGAGATGTTGTTTTCCAGGTGCAATTTGGTCTGTTCAATCTGCTTCTTTTGCTGTGCTACGAAAGCAGCATCCAATGCTCGTGCATTCTTCTCAAACTCCTTGAACAGCTTTGCAATGGCTGCGCTAATCAGGGCCTTTTCATTTGCAATGCACTGGGCAATTTTAGAGAGGATGTCCTTCTCCTGTTTTGCGTAGGAAGCAAGCAAGGCACCTGTGATTAAGTTGGCTGCTGCAAATGCATCAGATTGGTATCCATTTTGGGTGTCCTCGAGATCGTTTTTAATGGCAGGTGGCGATTCCTGGGAGAGAGCGCTGATTTTGGCAGCGATGTCGTCTTTGGCCTGTGCAAGGGCTGCTGCTCCCACGGTACGTGACTTGGCGAAATCAGCTCGAATTGCATGTTTGATGCAAAAGAGAAGGGAAATCAGCCTCTCTTTGACAAGGGCAAGGACGTCCTGTTCGAGATGCTGAGCAAGGGCGTAGAGTTCGGAAGCAGTTCGTACGTCGATTTCAAGGAGTGACCTGTAGAGCTCACGAAATGCGTCATTGATTTCACGAATAACAGCCCTGTACAGGTTGTCATTCAAACTCTGTAAAATGAGGCCAATTTCCCTCAAGGCCTGGCAAGCAGCCTCAGATGGAACACACTCATCTGGTGCAATGGGCTCAGGTGGGCAGTAGTCGGGCCTACATGGCTCAAAGCATGGGCTGTAGCACGGGTTGCTCAGTACAGCAGCGGCCCTGACCCGTTCAGGTGGGCAGAAATTCGTGCATGTTAGCGAAAGGATGTGCTTTGTGAACCCCAACATATGCATAAAATCACGTTTATTTTTATACTTAAAATGCATAAAGCATGAAATCAATAATACCCTTCTTTACAACAACTAATAAAGAAATGAACAGAAGCAGAATACAATATCCAATATCTGTCAGGATACTTAAATATTGACAATATTACGTGTCAAACTCTCTTCTATGTCTCCTAAAATATTTTATCCCATTCATATGACTAACAAAACCATAGCAGATGAATCTGAACTCACAATGGATTCTATACTTTGGAAAGCAGTCTATGCCTCTCATAAGCTAACTAAGAGCAAGTTAGAGACAGTCTGTCTCTCTGAAATTATCGAGCAGTGCAAAAAGAAGGAACTGTCCCTTATGAATGCAGCCATAATTCTTCTGGCTCTCTCCAAAATAACCAGACGGAAAACAAGACACATTCTGGAAGAATGTACGCGATTCCTGGTGGCTGTAAATGGCCAACTCAGAGCCAAGGAAACCAGACAAAAGCGCAAGGTTGAAGCTGGTGTCAATTCATCCGTTATGAAGGAAGACGTCTTTCAGAAGACGTCTCTTCATCTTCAACAGGAATCAGAACAGTTCAATTTCAACTCAGGTGGCTTCGATCTTGACATTCCAAGTCACCTTGAGCCTGAGCTTGTTCGAAACAACACGAGTGACATCATGAACATTTCCAATCCAAATCTCACCAAAAACACGTCTTCTGCTTTTGAAAGAGTCAAAAAACCACGGGAAATTGAAGACAAAGTCATCGAATTGAACATTGAAGCAATGCATAAGAAACTGCTTAAGAAGTCGACTGAAATCGATCTTCTCAAGGAATCCAAATGCGTCCTTGAACACGTTGGCCCTGCCCTATTCGTGAATGAGATTGTCCTGAATGCAATAAAGACTGAAATTGACGCCTACAACGCAGAAGTCATCAGAAATAGCACTACATTGCACGAGACTGGCCTTGGACAGTTTGAAGACGTCCATCAGGCCGATTTCGACTTCGCAAACGGCCACGTCGCCTCCGATGACCCAAATCGGCCTCTTTTGAATTTGCATGAAATTGGAGACGAATTCGTGTTCCACGAGGCCATGGCGACACTGCCACGGGAAGAGCAGGCGCGCCTCTTCGTTGGCCTTCTGGCTGCTCTGACTGCCTCCACACACTCCGCCACACAAAATAGCCCATTTGGAGACATCTTCGTTGAAAAAATCGAATAAGTTTATTTCAGTTCCAACAGTCTGGCCCTGACTTTCTTCTTAAATTCCTCACTTTCCACCAGCTGCTCCTTTCTCTCTGTTTCGCGCCTCTTGATCTCCTTCTCTGCCTTCATAGCCCGCGAATAGATCTCGTCGCTCAGTGTCACGTACTTCCAGCCAAACTTGCTCAGAAGCTGCCCAATCGTGCACGTCCTCCTCTCTACGTTGTTTGTGACCACGTGCAATGCTTCTGGGAACATCACGCGCTCTACGCCCACGAACTGTGCTGGAATCGCCTCGTAGCATCCGAGTTTCCCCAGTGCCTCTCCACCCCTGTTTGTCTTTCTCTGTACCATCGTCCTTAGCACTTTGAAAAAGTATTTCGATGGCTCCTTGTAGTGGAATGCTCCTCGCATTGGATTCACAATGCATCTCTTCCTCTTCCAGTCCTTGTACTTTCCAACGTGTCTTTCAAGTGGCCCTGTGAAAATGGCTCTTTCACATGCGACCACGTCCACTTCGTAGCCCTCGAGAAGCAGCTTTGCCACCCGACTGGCCAATTTGCCTACGACATGTCCACTTGCATCTACAACCACCTTTCTACTTAAACACTCATCATTGTTGCAGCAGTCACCATTGTTGCAGCAGTCATTGCTATTGCAGCAATTATTCTGATTACTCATTGGGTCAAAAATTTGCTAAATTTCTTTTACTAAGGAATTTGCCTAACTACCCATCATTCTCAATTATATGACTAACTACCTACTATAATACTATTATCGTTAATTTACAGGTGAAATAGTAGTCAAAACTAGCCTCTGATACCAGCAATCCTCTGCTTGCTTGTATCCAATACCACGTCGATGTTTCTGTACCACATCCTGTTTCGTACAATCCACATCTGTGAGCAGACTCCACAGAGCATCACAACAGAATTAACCAGAAATGCGGGAATAAGCGACAAATCGTCAAAGAAGGCAGGCGACATTCGAACCAGAAAGTAGGAGCCACCAAATGAAAAGAGAAAGATGCAGAAGTGCGTGGTGTGGTTGTAGATGAGGCGGAAGCAGAGGAGAATGGCCACGTGAGAGACACCGAAGCCAAGCACAACCTCAGTCTCAGCCTGGTTGCGGCCAACTGCCTCAAAATGGCGAAATGGAGCCAGAATGTGGTCAGCCACGATGCCAGTGTACGCCACGATGTAGCGGTTGGCAAGAGACATCGTGTGAGACGCAGTGAGTCTGTAGACGACGTGCAGGAGCACGGAAACAAGGACGCCTATGACCAGGGACGTGGTGACGCCCTGAACTAACGAGAGTGTCATTTGGTGCGAGATGTTGTTTGAAATGAACCTGAGCGTGTTCAAATGGATCTTATTTGTGATGCTGTAGAGGAGTAGAAGCTGTAGTAGAATGTATGAGAGTGTGTATGAGGCAATTCCAAAGAAGGCGACGTAGAAGGCCATGCATGCGAAGAGGAGGCGGGTGGCTGGCGGCCTGGTCGCAGCAAGGCGGGCTGACTCGAAGAAGGAGCCGTTGAGGTAGTTTAGGCAGAAATCGGATATTTCAAAAATCATAGGGCGAACTAAACAAACAACAAGGCGCCTAAACAAATTTGTCAAAATTTACCCAATGTTTTTGAGGAATTCACAGATGTACGCGATAAAGAGGTTTCTGTACCAGAACAAGGGGATTGTGGTGCCATTTGGGAAGCAGGGAATGCATCCGACACTGCGAATGAAGAACTGCGTCGTCCACAAGGGACTTCGAACTCTTTCGAGCAAGGCGTATCTTGAGAAGCACGCGGCATGGCAACACGCGTGGTTTCTGGTCACGACAGAGGGATATGCGAGGCTGAGGGACGAAGTCGGCCTCAGCGACGCCACTGTGCAACAGGAGAATCAGCTGGAAACAAAAGCATAAACAGTATTTAAGTCTAATTTGTTTTGTCCCTGTTTTCAAGAAGATCGTCTTCCGGGAATGAGAAGTTGTCGAGAAAGACGCGTTTTGGTCGCAAGAAGGCGTTTCTGGCTTCGAGGAGAATCCTTTCCGCCATCTGCCTGACGTTTCCGACTGACGCCCTAAGAATATTGAGTCTACGAAGCTGGACTTCCTGAAATATTGCTGGATGCATTCTGAGGAGAACTAGGACGGCGTAGAGGATCCTGGTGGCTGCCTTTGACTCTCCAACACCGTCTGTTGCTGCCAGAATGAGCCTGTCTGCCACCTGGACCATGAATGTCCTGCATCCCCTATTAATTATACTTCTTTCTGCAATTTGAAGAATGAAGAACAGAAACCCCTCAACACGGGCATTTTCTGGTCGAATTGCATCCAACACGGCTGCCTCGAAGCCACTGAAGTGGAATTCGGTCTCCTGCTGCAACAGATAGACCGTCATTAGCGTCGGAATCCCAAGCTCCTCGTCCCCAAGGCACCCCACAAGCTCGTCGTAGAGATTCTTCGGATTCCGAATCAGAGGAAGCAGCTCCGCCGTCTTCTCGATCACCTCCGCCTTCCTGTTCTCCCGTAGCACCTGCTTCAGCTCCAGATCGATGCTAAACTGCGCCAGTGTTTCAGCATCAAACGAGCTCGTCATTTCAGAAATGCGACTGAGAATCTCGACGACTCCATCGGTGTCGCCGCCCTTAGCACGACCCAGTGCCACAATCTGCGCCGCCAGCTGCGCCATTTCGCCCTCTTTCTTCTCTTTTTCCCTTCTCATTTTCTGGCCCACCTCCATCTGGGCAGAATCCTCCTCTTTTTGAAACCAAAACAGCCTATGACTGGGCCAGGTGAGTTACGGCCTATAAATCACCCAAATGCATGCGGCAACAACCACTGCCACTGCACAGAAAGTGAGTCCTTTCTTCACGACCTCGATTCCAACTGTCTCGTTGAATTTGACTGTTTCAATCCGCCCATCCAGGCTGTACAGGAAGGTGCGACCGAGATTCTCCCTGATTCGAATTCCTTCCTTTCCCACCGTAAACTCCTCTGGCTGCGCCAATACGCCGCAAATGAATGCGAATGAGATGGTCTCCCCCGATATCTCGATTCTGTAGCAGTCACCTGCCCAGTCCAGGGCGTAGCTGACTCCGCCGTGTCTCCTCACTGCGAATATCCTCCTTGGTGCCAAACCAGTTGCCCCAGTTTCCCCGTGAATGACCGTCTTGTCCTCCTTCTGCCTGAAATCCGCGTCCTCGTAGATTTCACCTGGCATTGGGCCAAATTTCTCAAAATTGCTGAATTCAGCCATGGTCAAATTCGACTACGATGAATTCGTAAAGCATTTTCTGAATGAGATTCTGAACCGATCCAAGGGCCGTGGATTTGAGATCGAGGTGCGAATTGGAACAATTCAGTCGACTGTGACCAGAAACAGAATGTTTCTCAGGACGATGCATCCCGTAGTCTTCGCTGAGCTGCCACCAGGCGTGAAATTCAACACGGACGTGGGCGAGGCGTGGCACAGCCGCGTCAGGCGCGAGATGGCTGCGGCCGTGACGGCTGAAACCAGAGACGTCGTCTACGTTGGGTCTCATTGCAGGAAGATCGTAGGAGAAGGAAAGGCTGTTTACGAGAGGAAGTTGAAGAGGGAGTCAATTGTGGTATTCATGCCCAGGCACAAATACGACATGAAGGTGTCTGTTGCGATAGAGAAGCAGATTGGGGAGCCAGGGGCGTTCAGGCCGAGCTACGTGCGAGAGAGGCAGAGGACGAGTCTGCAAAGGGAGCGATGCGTGATCGATTTGACGAAGGTGGCTGCTCACAGGGCGGATTCACAGGGTGGATCGGAAGAAGGAAGAGTCGAATACGAAATGGAGGTGGAGATCACGGACGAATCAATCACGGTGGACGAGTTGTACGAAACAGCAGAAAGGTTGATGAGGTTGAAGTAGGGGTAGTTAGGGTGGTAGAGTAGTAGGGGTAGTTAGTAACATGAATATGGTAGTAAATATGGTAGCAAATATGGTAGCAA